GTGTGTGTGTTGTGTATCCCGACATGTTGGTTGACATCCACGGTATAAGACCTCTCAGGTCGGGGGTTCGAATCCGCTCTGGCACAGTTGACCTTAAGGAGTTGGTACTTGAATTCTTAGACACATTAGAGATGGTTGGAGCCTCGTATAATAGCCTCTGACCATCTCATATATATATATATATATATATATATATAGAATATGACATGTGTCGTGTACCCTGCTATGTTGGTTGACATCCGCGGTATAAGACCTCTTAGGTCGGTGGTTCGAATCCCCACTAGCACGATTGACCTTAAAGAGATGGTACTTGAATTGCTAGGCACATTAGGGGTGACTGGAGACTCGTATAATAGCTGATGAACATTCATTTTATATATATATATGCACACACAAACACACAACCACTCATATGATAATAGATAAAAATCTAAGCACACACAAACACACAACCACTCATATGATAATAGATAAAAATCTAAAGAAATATTAGTGAATCTTAAAGCCATAAAAGTACAATATGACACTTAAAATCTATCCTACACATGATAAATTCATCGTAGTAATTATGAAACCGCAGAGTTATTAAAGATCTATAATGCCAAGATAATGTCAAGTAACAGTGTTAGGAAAAAAAAAGTATCATTTATAATTGTTGCAATTTAAAATTTTTTATTATGTTGACATGTGTTTGTGCTATTATATTTAACTTGCTTTCATTCGTTTTTTTGTTCTGGGCATTTTGCTAAATTTCAGGTATGATTTAAGCATTGAAAGTCTTTTCTATGGAGCTTGACCTCAAGAAAAACTAATAATTATTATTACTTTTTTGGAGCTAGTAGTTATCCCCGATAAGCCCAAAAACTTAAGAAAATATAAAATAAAAAAAATTAGAAAATGGAGCCATGAAAACCCTTATACACATCTATAAATAGCATCCTTGACCCATATTCCTTCATCCTTCAAACCAAAATCCACAGCTTATTCCACCCTAAAAGAACCATTCTAAAAACATCATCATGGTTAAGGGCTCGTTCACAGATGAGAGTTTTTGGAGCGTTGAGATCGATAGGTTATGGAAAGCACGCATAATTGATGGACATAACTTGCTGCCAAAGCTTTTGCCTGACTTCATTTCACATGTGAAGATTATTGAAGGAGATGGCGGAATTGGCACCGTAAGACAACTCAACTTCAATAAAGGTAGGTTTTGTGAGATATATATATATATATATATTGTACATTAGAAGGTGAAGTCTCCTGTTCTATTTGTATCCTTTTTTTCCTTTTAAATTTGTTATAAGGATGACGACTATGTAATTGTTGTAGGTAAAAATGAATACGACTTCGTTATGGAAAAGATTGTGGCGCTCGATAGCGATTGTTACCGAACAAAAGAGACTGTCATCAAAGGGGGGCTTATCGGGTCGAGAATGATTTCTTACTCTCTTGAGCACAAATTTGAGAAAGTGAGCGAGCACAACACCAGGGTGAAACTTACAGTGGAGTATGAATCTTTTGATGAAAAGCCTCTTAGTGTTGAGGAGCAAAACCTGCTTGTAGTAAAGCTGACTGGGGTGATGAAGGCTATTGAAGGGTATCTCCATACCCATCCGACAGCTTATGTCTGACTTCTATAATAAATATCTATTAATATGTATGCGCAATTATATGCTTTTGCAGCTTGTGAGATCTGTCACTGGTAGTTGTTCGGTGCTTGTTGAGTTACTTCGTTATGATTCTAAGAGGATATGTCATACTTTCCTCTTTGTTTGTGAAATGAAATGAGGGCTTATCATCTATGGATTTTCATGATATTTTGAGCGCTTGAATTCTACTGTGAAAGAGAATATGGAGTGGTTTCTATCATGTCACTTCAATGGCTACATAAATTAATGGAATATAGTAAATAAGGTTCATTAGGCAGACGAAACAAAGGACATCTGACTCCAGTGGGGAGAACTATTCAACCGGATGTGATTTAAAAAGGATGACAAATGGTAAGCACATAATCATTCAACCAGATGTGATTTAAAAAGTATGACAAGTGGTAGCACATATTAATTGAATAATGTTTGGAATGACTGCGAAATGGAAATTTAAATTGGACGTGATTTGAGGAGCGCGCGAACGCGTGAATTTTGGGTTAAAATTTTTTAAAGGGCCGGGTTCAAGCGCCCAAAAAGATCAATACCTTCGGGCCTCATGTGATTAAAAAAATAATAAGAAGAAGCCAAAAATGTGAATTTCAATAAGCTGGCAATGTTACAGAAATTTATTAAAGTTTCATATATATATATATATATATATATAGATTCAAATTCAATTTCAAAAGTAGCAGGTCAGGCTGAGTGTTATAAACTCAATGCAAAATCAAATAATTTTTTAACTTTATTCATATATATGGAAAATTCAATGGACTAGGAGAGAAAAGTACGGTCAAGGATGGTGATTGCCCACAGAAGGAAAACAATTTCATCGGAACACTAAAAACTGGATTGACCAAGTACAACTCGTTTGGGTAAGATCGCGAAGCTTGCTAAACAAAGGACGTCAGAGCCCAAGTCGAAGATCCATTGAGTCAAGAGAAGACATCAACTTAACTCTGGTCTCATCATCACCAGACGCCTCACAAGAGCCTACAAGACTCTCCATAAGGCTGAAGCTTCTTTCCACAATGCACTCAGCAAACACCTCAAGGAATATGTCGGAGGGTGAGCTATCTGTTGGATTATAGTGATTCACTCTCTACCAGACAGCTAAGTCTCATCCTGACGATAGAGGCTCCTCATTTAGGAGTCGACATTCGTACCAAAGCAATAGACTGATTTACTCTACCATATCGAGTGAAGTCCGAATAATTGAAGATCAACCATAGACGGTCGGTTGCCCCACTGAGCATAGTCAGTCGAACGAACCTTGCCGACCTAAGGACCGCCAATTTCAATCGACCGATAAGATAGCCAAGTCATAAGCTCATTTTTGCAAATACCTAAAAATATCTTGTAACACCCCATTTATAGCGAAAAATTATTGCATACGGACACCACATGCAGAGATGCATGCGGTGTCTGATCCTGACCGTAGATCACGGTGATCTACGGTCAAGATGTATTTCAGTTTTTTTTTTTTAATAAAAAAATTAAAGTGGGGTTCACCAAAATATATTCTGACCGTAGATTACTGTGATCTACGATCAGAATCAGACACCACATGCATCTCTGCATGCGGTGTCCGTATGCAATAATTTTTCCTTTATATCAGGGGTAAACAACTAATCATCCACTTTATTTCACCCACCTCATTTATATAGTAAAAACTAATCAGTCAGTCATCAAAAACTCATTTCGTTATTGTGCACGCACACACACACATACACTCTGCCCTCTATTATATGTTATATTCTTTGGGTGTGATTCACAAGAAAGATTCAAATTAAACAATAATATATGTGTGTGTTTATATATATATATATATA